CAGTTTAGAGGAATTACAGAGGTGGGACTGAACCACTTTTGTCCCCCAAATTTTAGGAATGGTATATCACATCTATTGATATAAATGAATTATTTACTGCACAATAGAAACACTAACCCTAACCCTAAAACTACCAGTAGGACATCATAAGATAGGACAGTGCTCTACACTAAAGCAATTGTTGAAGCAATTCTACTCACACTGGCAACAAAGCAAGAATTATTCATTAGAGATGGATGGAACTCCCCCAGACCAACGCTCGTGGGGAGATCTCTGCTCTCAACCTCCAGCACTGACCTTGGGGGGTCCCAGCCAAGGCAGGAATCTCCACACACCCCCCAAGAAGGGTTCTGTTGGCACAACCTGCCCCTGGCAAAAGGGACTGGCCCTTTCTGGTAGAAAGGGATGGACTGACAGTCACTGGACTCCAGGGGTTGCCTCACCATCAGGGGGGTCCTTCGGGGTGGGAGCAGCGGCCGAAGCTCTTCCCGCAGTCGGGGAACTCATACAGTTTCCCTTATTGGTGGGTCCGTTGGTGTTGGGTCAAGGTAGAGCTGTGGCTGAAGCTCTTCCCACACTCCTCACACTTGTAGGGCCTCTCCCCGGTGTGGATGCGCCGGTGCCTGACGAGGTTGCCGTTCCGGTTGAAGCCCTTCCCGCAGTCGGTGCAGCGGAAGGGCCTCTCCTCTGTGTGTATCCGCTCATGTGCGAGGAGATTGGAGCTGGTCTGAAACCTCTTCCCACATTCCAAGCACTTGTAGGGCCGTTCCCCAGTGTGGATGAGCTGGTGAGTGTGGAGGTGGGAGCTTTTCCTGAAGCTCTTTCCACATTCCCCACACTTGCAGGGCCTCTCCCCAGTGTGGATGCGCTGGTGTTGGATCAGGTTGATTCTGTGCCTGAAGCTCTTCCCACATTCCCCACACGTGTAGGGCCGTTTCCCGGTGTGCATGCGCTGGTGTCGGATCAGGTTCCAGCTCTGGCTGAAGCTCTTCCCACATTCTCCACAGCTGTAGGGACGTTCCCCAGTGTGGATGCGCTGGTGGATGCGGAGGCTGGAGCTGACACCAAAGCTTTTCCCACATTCCCCACACATGTAGGGCCCTTTCCCGGTGTGAATGTGCTGGTGTTGGATCAGGCTGGTGCTCCGGCTGAAGCTCTTCCCACATTCCCCACAGCTGTAGGGTGCTTCGCCAGCGTGCATGCGCTGGTGGGTGCGGAGGCTGGAGCTCTCTCTAAAGTTCTTCCCACATTCCTGGCACGTGTAGGGTCGTTCCCCAGTGTGGATTCGACGGTGGGTGCGGAGGTGGGACATCTGGCTGAAGCTCTTCCCACATTCCCTACATGTGTAGGGCCGTTCCCCAGTGTGGATGTGCTGGTGGATGAGGAGTTGGGTGCTCACCCTGAAGCTCTTCCCACATTCCAAGCACCTGAAGGGCTTCTCCCTGCTGGGAGGCTGCTCAGGGACCACCAGCTCGGAGCTCCGGCTCAAGCTCCGGCCGCCTTCCC